ACTTCCACTGTGTATTCATAAGGGATTTGGTTTAGATTATACGTGACTTGCCCAGTGGTTTTTTCTACTTTCTTCAGTTTAAGCTTGAATTTTGCTATGAGAAGCTGATGATCAGAGCAACAATCAGCTCCAGGTCTTGTTTTTGCTGACTGTATAGAGCTTCTCCATCTTTGGCTGCAGAGAACATAATCAATCTGATTTTGATATTGCCCATATGGTGATGTCCATGTGTAGAGTCACCTCTTGTGTTGTTGGAAAAGAGTGTTTATGATGACCAGCTTGTTCTCTTGACAAAACTCTCTTAGCCTTTGCCGTGCTTCATTTTGAACTCCAAGGTCAAACTTACCTATTGTTCCTTTTATTTATTGACTCCCTACTTTAGCATTCCAATCCCCTATAATGAGAACATCTTTCTTTGGTGTCAGTTCTAGAAGGTGTTGTAAGTGTTCATAGAATTGTTAATTTCAGCCTCTTCAGCATCAGTGGTTGGTGTATAAACTTGGATTACTGTGATGCTGAAAGGTCTGCCTTGGATTCTTATTGAAATCATTCTATCATTTTTGAGATTCTATCCCAGTACAGCTTTTCCCACTCTTTTGTTGACTATGACGGCTACTCCATTTCTTCTACGGGCTTCTAGAACTGTAATTGTATTGCTTTTATTTGAGAGAAAAACTCAAAAACTTGACTGGGACTTTTTCTGGTGGAGAAGGGGATGTACATAATGTCACAATTGTCCTCTACATTTTATTTAGAAGTGCAATGACACATGTCTTCCTTTCCACACAGGTATAGACAAGTTTAAGGGCCAGTACTTTCACAGCCGGGAGTACAAAACCCCAGAGGTTTTCAAGGACAAAAGAGTGCTTGTGGTTGGCATGGGGAATTCTGGAGTTGATATTGCAGTGGCAGCCACTCATACAGCAAAGAAGGTAATATTCCTCTCATTATATAAAAGGGATCTGTTCTGTGCAATTCTCTAATACGAACCCTGTGAGCAACTCTGAAAAAGTCATAAAGTTTTCTTTGATGCAGGGTTCCCTCCATCCCTTGACCATTTTAAATCAGATGCAAATTTGCTGTTGAAACTCTGCACTACTGCAATCAGTGTGATATGCTTTTACCACACTGTGGGTGTGATGATGCTTTGTGTGGCTCCTCTCTCTTGCTATAGCCCTTCCCATCTCTCCTCAAATACCTAAGGCACATCTGTGAGCATATGCCATGTACCTACTTTTGTTACTTTAGGAACTTTCCATTTTAAATCTCTTCCTTGTGTGACCAAATTCCATCTAGTTATTTCTACAATTCTGTTATCCTATTCTATTATACAATTCAATTCTGTTGGTTTCCTCTGCTTGTTAAAATTTGCACGCATTAGTTCAATTTGGTTGATAATAGATCTTAATAGATCCCCCACCCTTGCAGAGGGAAGCAGCAGCTAATAGACTAAACTTGACCGGGAAGTGGTCTGACCATGACAGTGGGGTCACAACCAACCCCTCCACATCCAAAACACCATCTTCCAGTCCCATTGAGAAAACCAGGTCCAAGGTATGGCCCTTCTCATGCGTTGGGCCGATGAAATATTGAGACAGCCCCATAGTTGTCATGACAGCCATGAAGTCCTGAACCGCCCCAGTCAAGGCAGCCTCGGCATGGATGCTGAAGGTCACCCAGCACCAACAGCCTGGGAGTCCTCAACACCAGGTCTGAGACTACCTCCATCAGCTCAGGCAGGGAGACTGTTGGTACGGAGCAGGGGGGATGGTACACCAACAGAATCCCCAATCTGTCTCGTAAGCCCAACACACAATACAGGCCCTCAATACCTCTTCTCAAAGGGATAGGAAGCCTAGTCAAGGAGATAGAACTCCCATAGACGATAGCAACTCCCCCTCCCTGGCCCTCCAAGCAACATTGGTGCTGGACCACATACCACAGGCAGGACATGACAAGTGTGAATCCCTTTCCTCCTCATAGGCATCCTTCAGTCTCGAGAGACTATGGTAACATGCTCTGAATCGAGGAGTGTCCTCTCCAGAGCATGAAGCCCGGGTAAGGTAATATGGAGGATAGGCTGTTACCCAAGCAGCAGATCCCCCCTCTCCACGTTGCTGAAATGGTCCAATGGAAAGGCAAGAGCCAATACGACTGGTTCCAGCAACGTCGCAGGAGTTGGAACGACACGAGATGCCTTTGGGACTCCAGCTCCAGATTTTGCCTCGAGGTTAACTCCTGAAGCCTTTTCCATGAGTGGATATAGCCCCATGATGATCCCTTTCCTACCCCTCAGGTAATGGAGAAACCAAGAGAAGGACCTCTAAAGAAAATACTAGTGCAAAGGCAAGGAGCTTATGTTTCCCTGGATGTTACTGGATCCCAACTCCTATCAGGCAAAGTCAACAAAGTTGATGGTGGAAAGTGATGGGGATTTTAGTCCAAAACCACCTGGAGAGCCACAGGACTTCCACTCCTGTCTCAGCGTGCCAACATGTATAACATAAAGAGTTAAACAACCCTTTAGCTACCCTATTTGGAAGTCATAAAGGACTTTAAGGCTGAGATATGCATATCACATTGATTGTAAATGGGCTGCTCCTGAATTTTGATGGACCTCTATTTTTCTAGGTGATGATCAGCACAAGCAGAGGCGCTTGGGTTATAAGTCGTGTTTTCGACAATGGCTACCCATGGGACATGGTATTCCTCACTCGTTTCCTGAACATGATCCGAAATAGCCTTCCTGGACGTGTCACCACATGGCTGCTTGCAAACCGAGCGAACCAGTGGTTTAACCATGCATATTATGGAATAATTCCAGAAAACAGGTATTGAGAGTAAAGGAGATGACACATATTCATGCTAATTCCTTCATGGCTATTTTGCTACTGCCTACACCACAATGTATCTTTCTTATTTAACTCATGAGGAGTGAAAACAATGCTGAATTCTGCATAATGTTGATATATTTTGATTCAGTAAATGGTGATCATTAATTGATGGAATGAGGAGGACAACGTAGGTCCAGTTTCATTGTGTTTGGAAGAGCACCTGGAACCGGCACTGAATCTTAGACATAGTGAAGAGGAACTACAGAGAAATCACATCAGGCTTTGAAACTCTGGAAAAAAAACTAAAGGACTTTGGGGCCCAGATAGTCTCTGGTATCTATACACAAAAGCCAGGAGTATGGAAAATAAACAAGAAGAACTGGAAATCTTAGTTCGGGTGTATGACTTAATAAAGATAACTGAAACCTGGTGGGATGGCTTCCATGATTGGAACACAGCAATTGAAGGATATAAATTGTTTTTAAAAGAACCGGAAGAAAAAAGGGGAGGTGGAGTCACATTGTCAAAAATACAGATTCCTGCATGGAAATACAGTAGGGTAGCCAAGTTGTTCCATCAAGAGAATCTGGATTAATATAACTGGAGTGAAAAACAAAAGGAACATTGAGTCTACTGTCAAGGCCAGATTTAGACCTTGTGGGGTATTTCAGCTTTGAGAGGGCCCTTATATACAGGAATTAAAATATACAGTGGTGCCCTGCATAGCGACGATAATCCGTTCCGAAAAAAACATCGCTATATGGATTTGTCGCTATGCGGAACAAAAAAGCCCATAGGAACGCATTAAAACACGTTTAATGCGTTCCTATGGGCAAAAAACTCACCGTTCTGCGAAAATCCTCCATATGGCCGCCATTTTCGCTGCCCGGTAAGCGAGGAAAGGGCGCAAAAACACAGCGGGTGGCCATTTTCTTTACCCGGCAGCCATTTTGGAACCGCCGATCAGCTGTTGGAAAAACATTGTTATGTGATAATCGGTAAGCGAAACGCTTACCGATCATCACAAAGCAATTTTTATCCATTTAAAACATCATTATGGGATCGCTTTTGCGATCGCAAAAACTCAATCGCTATGTGGATTCATCATTAAACAAAGCACTCGTTATGCGGGGCACCACTGTACAGCAAATCACCAAATTTACACAGCAGTCAATTTATTGCATGTCACTGGAACTTATACAGGCATATTAAGGTTAAATGAATTATATATCTGAAGTAAATACATGTATACATTTAAATACAATATACGTATGCCAGTAAAACTCCAAACAGATTTTAGGTAAGACAAATTAGAAAGAACAATGGCTAACTCAACAATTCACACAACCAAATTAAACTCTGCACCTGTCAATACAAAAGTTTTACGTTTATCCAAGCTAAGTACAGTAAGTTTTACCAACTTACAACTATATGCATCACACTAGAATATCTGCAAAAAATCTTTTTTTTTTCTCCATTCGGCATCTGAAATGTTTTTAATGAACTCCTCAAAATATATCTTATTTAGAACTCCGTTTTATGCATTCAGTAGGCACAGAGCACTTTTTCATGGGTCATTGTGGTTCTCAGATAATTCTTTATTAGTGCCAATTTCCTATATGATCCCTCTTCTGAACAACTAGTGACCGTCATACTCAAATATATTCTAAGGACTACACTGACTCTTGGAGAGGTGTTAGTTAGTCCTTCATCATGGAGTAAAACCACCTGCTGAGATGCAGTGAGACATGACCCGAGTTTGGCAATGGCTACAAACTGGACAATTTCATCTATGAATACTTTACTGAAATCACCAGGAAAAGAAGTGATAAGTTTTTCAACCTCAGTTCTTATCTCTGCATAAGTTGACTATGACTTTGAACCTGTCAGTCACTGATTGCTATGCTACCCTTTGTTTTGTAAGGCAAGGGACAACTGATCTAAAATGACATTGCAAGTTCCAGATCTGAATTCTTCTCTTGAGGAAAGGACAACTTCCTCTGAGACTGATGTTGGAGTCATATCGTAATGTTTGTTTCTCTTTCTTGGCCTCCCTGTAGTTGCTTCGTAATTTGTGTTGCCACATATTCCTGACACCCAGTTCCAACTTTTCATACCTATCCTAAAGTGATTTCAGAATCTTATCCAGAGAATAAATTATGCCCACCACTTTCTTCAGGTCAGCTTCAAGTCCTTGAATAGGTTTTTGTGTACTGTTGACTGGCTCAAGAATTAAATTCCAGATCTGGGCCATCAGGGCAGTTGCAAGACAATCCATTTCCCAACTGCTGCTGGGTTCTTACTGTTAAGTCTGGCTTGTATTCTTGTGTAGTGACCAGACATATTCCTTGCATTGTCATAGGATTCCCCTCTGCAGTCTTCAAAATGATACCTTCTTTTTCCAGGAATTCCACCAGATATGTAGCCAGAATTTCAGCTTTAGAAGTGCCAGTCTGTAGGAAAGTTAAAAACCTTTCTATTAGCTTCCCAGAAAGAACATATTGCTCAATGACTGTTAGCTACCCTGTTTCCCCAAAAATAAGACCTAACCTGAAAATAAGCCCTAGTATGATTTTTTCAGGATGCTCATAATATAAGCCCTACCTCCCAAAATAAGCCCCAGTTAAGTGAAACCCTGCCCTTTACCATTGTGCAGCAACCAGAAGAAGATGACACAACTGTATTTGAATAAATGTAGATTGTTGTACATGAAAAAAATAAAACATCCCCTGAAAATAAGCCCTAATACATTTTGGAGCAAAAATTAATATATTTCCTGTCTTATTTTCAAGGAAACACAGTAGACCACATGAGCCAGATCTAGTGTTAAATCTATGAAAATTAAGAATTACTTCCCAGTTTTCAGTTCTGGGAATACAATACTTACAATACAATACTTAACATATTTTGCCATCAGCAGAACAATTTCTTGATAAATGGTTGGTGATAAGTTTGACTGCTTACTACTTCCAGGATTGCCCAATTCTTTAAGAAGTTCCATAAAAAATGGATCAAATTGTGCAATCAGTTAATCATAGAATAGTGAAGCTGGAAGAGGTCTATGAGGCCATCAAGTCCAACCTCATGCTCGATGCAGAAATACAAATCAAAGGATATCTGCTAGGTGGTTGTCTAAGATTATCTTGAATGCCTCCAATGTTGGAGCACTCACCACCTCTTGAAGTAACTGGTTCCACTGTCTTACTGCTCTAACAGTTAGGATGTTTTTTCCTGACATTCGATCAAAATCTGGCTTCCTATAACGTGAGCCCATTGTTGTATGTCCTGCTTTCTGGGATGATCGAGAACAGATCCTGCCCCTCCTCTGTATGACAGCTTTTCAAATATTTGAGTTTATCATATCACCCTCAGTCTTCTTTTCTCAAGGCTAAACACACCCAGTTAATTCAGTCTTTCCTCATAGGGCTTGTTTTCCAGCCCCCTAATCATCCTTGTTGCCCTCCCCTGAACCTGCTCCAATTTGTCAGCATCCTTCTTGAAGTGTGGTGTCCAGAACTGGACACAAGACTCAAGGTGAGGCCTAACCAATGTTGAATAGAGGGGAACTAGTATCTCATGGGATTTGGAAACTATACTTCTATTAATGCAGGCTAAAATAGCATTTTTGTAGCCACATCACACTGTTGGCTCATATTCAACTTGTGATCTACAACAATTCCAAGATCCTTCTTGCTTGTAGTATTGCTGAGCCAGGTATCTGCCATCTTGTAACTGTGCATTTGGTTTCTTTTTCTGAGTTGCAGTACTTTGCAGCTATCCCTGTTGAATTTCATTCTGTTGTTTTCAATCCTGTGCTCCAGTCTATCAAGATCATTTTGAATTTTGTTTCTGTTTTCCAGACTGTTAGCTTTTCCACCCAATTTTGTGTCATCTGCAAATTTCACAAGCATTCCGTGCACCCCCTCATCTAAATCATTAATAAAAATGAAGAGCACCGTACCCAGGACTGAGCCTTGGGGTACCCCACTTGCTACCTCCTCCCAGGTAGAGAAGGATCCATTAATCATCACCCTCTGAGTACAATTCTGTAGCCAATTGTGTATCCACCTGACACTTGATATTTCCTGCCCACACCTAGCTTGCTAATCAGGATATCATGGGGCACTTTGTCAAAAGCTTTGCTAAAGTCAAGCTATATGTCTACAGCGTTCCCTCTGTAAGGGAGGTTACCCGATCAAAAAATGAGATCAGATTAGTCTGTCAGGATTTGTTCTTGACAAATCCATGTTGGCTTCTAGTTATTACTGCACTGTTTTCTAGGTGCTTGCATAGTGTCCATTTTATAATTTGTTCCAGAATTTTCCCTGAGATTAACTTCATTCTGACTGGCCTGTAGTTCCCAGGTTCCTCTTCTTTGCCCTTTTTAAAGATAGGACAACGTTAACCCTCCTCCAAATACTCTGGCACCTCATCCGATTCCCATGATTTCAAGAAAATACTGAACAGTGATTCTGAGAGTTCCGTACTCTTGGATACAGTTCATCCGGCCCTGGAGATTTGAACTCGTTCAACGTGGTAAGTTATTCCTTGGCTATTAATTCCATAATTCCTTTTAAAAATCCCATTATGCTTAGATCTTATGATCTCTTTTCTACCCCTAAATGCCAGACCTCTCTCGGGTTTAAAAAAAAACACCCTGTCACAGCCACAACACAGCACAATACTTTAGTCCAGTATTAAGAAAACTTGAGAAAATTCCTTATATAGAATCTCTGTGGCTTTGGCTTTGTTCATGAGTTTTCTTTTCTTTTCTCTCTCTGCTTTTTTCCAGTCGTTAAAACCACCCTCACTGGAAAATTAAAGCAACCACCCTTCAATGGACTGTACAGGAGTCACTTTCTGAAATTTTACTCAGCATTGTCATGAACACTATAAAACATGGAATTATTGACATAATGACAATGCCCATCCAATTTGCCTTCACCTGATTGATGAGGCCATTGAGATAAGAATCAAGAGTCATTTTTGTCTTGCCA